ATTTTTAGGTGTATGTATGTACTGACAATGCTTTAAGATATAAATATCTAGGACAATATGACAGGGTATGAATCCTAATTATAGTTAAAATATTATACATCAATTTGTGATGTATTTTACGTATCGAAATAGATTTGCTTTTTTTGCTTTCTATCGGCTGGCACATCTGATTAGGTATCTATAGTAAATAAAAACCCCCGTTCAGTTATTTTTTACTTTTTACGGTCTGGAGGTTTTTTTTTGTTTTTAAGTCAGTTTAATTTTTTTACTTTTTAGTGATATGGAATGAAGTGTTTTCCTTATTTATTTTGTACCTACTTTATGTTTCTCTCTCTGCTAACGTAACTGAAAGAAAAAATACTCTTAATATTATGGTTATGAATTTTGTTACCTGACTGTGCCAGAAGGAGGGTTATGTTTTTGTATGTGTGTATTTTTATTGGCACACTGTAGCCTAGACGGCTTGATGAATTTAAGCTTGAGAGGTTTCTTTAGATTGGTCTTAAATCTTAATTGTGAGTATGACACTGAGTAGGTATATCAAAATTATAAAAATTAAAATGGGCGATTTTTGGCGCCATATTTATATCTTCAAAATATTGTTTTTTCCTCATAACTTATCATTATGAGTGGGATATCAAAATAAAGGGTTTTATATATGGTTTACAAAAATATATACAACTTATATGTTTAAATGTAATTTGGAATGAGAAATGCTAAAAACCAACATAAAAAATAGAAAACCCTACTGCGTAAAAAGCGAACTAAAAAGATGAAAACAAGTTGACAAAAGAACATAGTAATGTAATGCATATATAACTGTGATAGTACTATGCAGTCGGAGACACACACAAAGCTATTATAAAACATGTACATACATATGTAGGTACCTGATTGCATAATAATATCACGGTAATATATGCATTACATTACCGTGATATTATGTTCCTTCATCAACTTGTTTACATCTCTTTGGTTCGCTTTTTATGCAGTTGGATTTTTTATTTTTGAAAATATTTTTGTTATACCGCGGCTACATTAGCGCGAGAATATTCGTGTCGCGTTGGCGCGATAAAAATATTGTGTACGAGTATACTCGATGTTCTTGTCTACATATGTATAAGCAGTCCATGTGTTCGCCTGTTTCGCGGCCGATGTAGGCGACAATTCTAGCTAAGTAAAATGGCAATTGTATTGCATGTCTGTAAATTATAATTATTATTTATTATCATCCGAATACAGTTTAGATTTAGATGTGAGCTTATTTCTAATTCTAACCCACGCATCATTTATACAAAAAAAAATCCTTTGTGGTCGGGGTTACGAGGATCCCGTATAAATTATAATACTCTCCGTTTCATAAAATCGAATAAACTCCAATATTTTTTCATTGGTCCAAACCATACTGTAGTTGCGTCGTCACTTTCCCGCCAAAATATCACTCGTTCGTTCCGCTCAAGGTCTGGACTGCAACTAAAGTGGCGAACGCGAAGTTTAGCCATGCAAGCAAATATTGTCCCGCTAAAACCCTTTGATGCCCGCCAGTTTACCGACAGTGCCGCGATATAGACCAGCGTAGCCTTGTAGCCTTTAAAAATAATAAAAAGTGAAAAAAAATAATAGTAGGATGCAACCAATTAGAAAAGTAGGGAAATATAAAAAATATATTAAAAACTATAATAAAATATATGAAATATACATGAAAATCGGCCAAAAGTTAGTTATTTAAAAATATATTTACTATACATATTTTTTATATATTTATACATAAAAAATATGTATAGTATAGATGTTTAATATATTTATAATATATTTTTTATACATTTTGACATTTATTTCTTTAATATATTTTTTTTCATGGGGGTATACTCACGATAAAATAGTGAAGGCATTATTAATTCGATTTTGTCTTTTCAGATTATCAGTATGAATGAATCTGTTTGTATCATCTGCAATAAGGCAGATGATAAGCAAGTGTATGAAATAAAAAAGGTTTTTTGTTTTTTGCATTTTCTCAGAAAATTTACTATAGTAACATAAATTTTTTTTCACCATCGGAAAGTAGAGATTTCAACGAACAGAGAACATACCAACTTTTAAAAAAAGCTGATATTTTGACGGGTGAAGTTTCGATTGAAAATTAGGGTGCTTTTTCGATATTAATTCAAAATAAGGTGAAAAAATAAATATTTTTAATCAAATAAATTACAGCGTATTTGGGACAAAAAAGGTAAGTTTTCACCAAATTTTGTTTAAACAAAAACATTTTTGTAAAAGATAAAAATAAAAAACCAAAAACTTGGTTTTTTGAATTTTTCACATAAATTTTGAGGTTATGTGAAAAAAGTGTAAATACAAAAGTTTTAGATCTTTTTATTACCTACAACTTTTCCATTTGACTTTTTTCGATAGGACTTTTAGTTTTGCCGGAAATCGAGAAAAACCGTTTTTTCCCCCTCAAAACCTCACCCCCATCCCCTTCCTGACCTCAGATCGCCCGTAAATTATTTTTTCCTTTCATTTTTATAATATTCCCCTCCTTTTCTAATGGGTTTCATCCTACTATTATTTTTTTTGGTTTTAAAAATTATCGACCCTGGTCTAATAAGCATTTGTCATCGAATATTCGCCGTATCCCGCTAATGTAGCCGCGGTATTACAAACACTCACACGGTCAACGGCCAACGCACTGCGTGGCCTCGACTGTTGCCCTACTATGTATGCCCCGTTTCGTGGACAATTTTGCCAAAACGAGTTTAAAATATTTAAATTATTTATTAGCGAAAACAAGCTCATAGTGACGTATCTTCTTTATAAATAAAAAAAGAATGTTGCTTTATATATTTATCCTCTGTTTGAGTTAGTTTAGTTTGTTTAGTTAGTTAATTCCTTATAATTTTAGACCAAACTAAAAATGCTAAATGAATTACTTATTTATTTTTTTAAACATGAATTTTTATACAAAAAAAATATTAATGCGATATAAAAACTGTCCATGCCCTAAAAATTAAATCCTAATTGATTCGACCACCAAGGTTATCGCAGAGCGTGTGTGTGTGTGTGTTATTGCCAAATAACAACCTCTGCGAATGTCGACATTGTTACATTACTCGTATCTCTGTTCTAGCCAAAAAAAAAATGTACCTACTACGTAGTTTGTATCATTTGATGCTTATTTAATATAAAGTTCCCCGCGGGCTTTGAATTGGCTAATAGTTTGATCTATATATTTTATATACAATTTAAATAAAATTGAAGTGTCTGTTTGTAATACCAAAATAACAACTTTTTACTAAATGCATATAAAAAATAATTTATTGACATTTTATTTAGACTAATATTATAAAAAGGTAAAAATTGTTAGTTAGTATTTAGGGGGCTACTTCTGATCTGATTCTGTTTTTTTAAGCAACTAGATTACCGATTATAAAGATAATTTTTTATATTTTTTATCTCATTAAAAATGGGTTTACGTTCAAAAATACGTACCGTGTATAAAAACTGCGTTTTTTCAGAAAAGACACCTATATAGATAGATACGTTTCATCCTTGCCGCAAGATACATATACTACGTATATATATATATATATACATACCATATCTCCGACTATATATGATATGATGATACTACACCACGGAGGCAGTTGACCGACTGCATAATACCACGGTAATGTAATGCATACACTATTCCAACTCGGGCCTGTCCTCGAAATAATTACCTACACCGAGTGCCCGCCGGCCAGTATTTTAATTTCATCTACCTACTTGAGTTTCTTTCTAATTTTATTAGTAGATTTCATTAAAAAATATCATATATTTAAAAATATTTGGGACTCGACTGAGACGTACGAAAATCTTTATTGTTAAATTTAATAGTATAAAGAATCCGCGTTGGGATAAAAAGTTTAATTAAAAATACTTTAATTTTTATTTTTAATTTAATTAATTAATTTTTATTTTTAGAGCATACGTTGCATGTCTCGATACTTTTTTATTTGACATACATAACATTACCACCTTATACAATTTTCATATTCAATTATACGATGTGGCAGCCCCGCGCGGTTGTCTACTGAGAGTATACCGAACGCGACGCGCGTAGATATAATTATTCACTATTTCCGACCGTTTGTATGAAGATGAAATACTGTATGTAATATTACCGTGATAATACTATATTCCATCGTGAACTTGTTTTCATCTTTTTAGTTAGCTTTTATGCAGTCGGGTTTTTTTATTTCTATAATATATTTATTTATTTACAAGTATTTTTAAGTAGGAAAATTAGCGAGAATGGTTGTTAACCATCTTTAAATCATTATATATCCTAAACTGTTATTTAAATTTTTTTTCATATTATGGAATCTAACAGCCCCCATATTTAATTTTTTTATGTCACCTATCTAGGAACTAATGAGACGAATCTAACGATACCTTGATAATAAAAATCCATCGAGTGGTTTGAAAGATATGAGGAAATAAAGAATATTACCAACAAACAAACATACAAAGATATGCGCGAAAAACATAACCCTTTCCTTGCAGTCTGGTAAAAAGCCTTATCTAAATACAAAGTTTGATCCAAATCGTTAGAGCTGTTTCCGAGATACACGACATAAATTTATATATGTACCTATATACAAGATTTGCTCATTTAATATAATAAAATATGTAGTTATATCATAATTAGCATAATTGGAGTAAAGAATATAAGATTTAAAAAATTACCTTGTTAGACTATGTGTAATTACATTGATAAACAGGTAAACGTAGACCCCTCTTTAGACTTCGATTCAGTTTAGGGGTCAACGATAGTATGAAACATAAGTTAATTTAACTCATTAAACATAAAAAAACCTGCAAATAAAGGATTGTAACTATCCTATATTACATAAACAAGTATTTTAGATTACTTTTACTTTTATAGATATGTGGATAAGTACATTTTAACAACCTTTAGAATTAAATTAAAGTAAATATATGTATTTTTATTGTTATAGAAACAAGGCAAATCCTGAAGAATGTTTCCGGTATTTTTAAGTCCGGTCAGCTAACAGCAATCATGGGGCCCTCTGGGGCCGGCAAGACGTCACTTCTGAACGCACTCACTGGATTCTCGTATGTTTTTGTTACTCTAGGCATTCTTAAGATTATACCTACACTAATATTATCAAGAGGTTAAGTTTTGAAGTTTGTGTGTAGGAGGCCATTTCTACTATAATAATCTACTAATCTGGTTCTGAAAATTCTTTCACTAATAGGATATACATTATACATATTACCGCATTATATACATATATTACCGCCTAGCTACAGGCTATTTTTATTCCAATAAAAATATTTTTACTATCAGAAATCTTAAGAACTTTAATTGGGGTCAGAAAATAAATGCAAGACACGCGGTAGCATGTCCAACCAAGTTCAAGCCAGAGGAACTGGCGACGCAGCACCGTGTGTAATTATATTTTACACAAACCATTTGGAGCTACTATTCACCTCGCAATAACTCAAAATCTATTTAACATAAACTCTTTTGGTTTCGTTTCGTACTAAACACACGTAATTATGTATTCGTTTCGTTTGTTTATTAAATGCCCTTAGATTAACTAGAATCCCCAATTTCATAAATACAGCTCAAACGTTTATTGAGATATTAACGTCTAAAAATCGGCAATTTTATTAATGACTGACTGACATATGGTAGCAAAGCCTAATGTGATGTGATGGATGTGGGCATCCAGATGACCTAGAAAGTTGAAATTTGGTGTCCTGATGGTTAACCGTGTGCATACAAAGGGAAAAATTCGAAATCAGTAAATTTTTAAAATTTGAAAAAAAAAAACCTTGCGTCTCCCAAAGCATAATAGCAATAGCAATCATAGTAATAGCAAGAACTTTTTCTTTCTCAGGAGAAAAGGTTCCACGATGAGTAAATAACATTTTCCTATTCCGCCTTATCCACTAACGAAAAGTCGCAAAATTATGAAAAAGAAGATTGAACTTACATGTAACTTTGAAATTATGAATAATAAATAATAATAGTTTCTTTACAAAAAGTCAGGATATCTCATCAAAAGCATAAATGTGAAAATGGGAGCCAAGTTCAATTATAAGAATATGCGTAGTAGTCGCCTTCACCGACAAAAGAATTGAATGAATTGTCTAATTGTGTACACAGAGTAACTAACTTAGAATAAATTGAAGTTCAAGACTTGAATTGGCTAGTGTTTTGGTAAACACTTGTTTTACTGGTGTAAAGTAAAAATTGAGACATGTTAACCTTACAATATAAAAGTAGTAACTTGCGTATAGCACAAAAAAGATATAAGTGATTAGCCGAATATAAGATAACTTGCATGTAAAAACTAGCCAAGTCAAATTTTGAACTTCAATTGAACCTTAAGTCTTAACCTTAACTCTGTGTAAATCTCTGTAAAAAAAATCAGTACTAACTACAGAACTTAGCATCAATTTAGATCTCAATTGTTTTGTCGATGAAGTCGACAACCACGCATATTCTTAATATTGAACTTGGCTTCCATTTTCACATTTATATTTTTGATGGGATTGTAATTCACGACGCACTCGAGCGAAGCGATTATTCGCTAGTATCTACATTTAATTACGTTGCTATTTGAAGTGAATCATAATTCACTGTCCATTATCTTTGCAATGGAATATTAATTTTAAAAGAGCTTATTAAATATATCTAGTCGTATTATAAAGACCGGTACTATCATTATAAAAACGAGACGCCTGTTAGACGTATATATTTATAAGATAATATTGTTATATGATCAAGTTGTACATAGTATCAAGTATCGCTATTGAAAAACTCCAATACGATCTCATCAAAAGCGACACAAGCTATATAGAAACCAATAAATATTTATTGGTTTCTATGTGGCTTTCATGGGTTTTTTAATAAGGATGTACATTCATATAATTGCAATATTCAAATAATTATTTTTTTGTGGCGGGCGTAGTTGGGGATGAAATGCGAAGAATATTGCTTAGTTCCTAGAGCCCAAGCTTGTAACAGTAATAATAATGAGCTTTCTGGTCACATCGGCTTAAAGATCCTACTTTGTTATAGAAAAATCACACACGAAAACGGAGCATTTTGTGTCAGATATTTTTTTTAGATCTAATATTATTTTTTAACCTGATCCTCTAAAGTCTAAATTAAGGGGTAGGCTTACAGGCTTTAGGTTATTCCTATATCTCTATAGAACGGTGGCTGGATTTCAATAGGAAATTTACTTAAGTGATTTAATTAATTAAATAAAATAAAAACCGACTCCCAGGCACTAAAATTGTAAAAAATAACTAAACGGGGGTTTCCATTTAGACAGTGGAGGATTTACCAGTAGGCTTAGTAGGCTGGAGCCTAGGGTGGCAGATTTTAGGGGCGGCAAATTTGGGGACAAAACTTTTTTTGTCTTACAGAAATCAAAAAGGTTAATATTTACCTAAAGTATCATACCTAAATGTTATTAGGTCTACACAGACAATTAAACATGTAATATGGTCATCACTGGACACATATATACTGGACACATATCACTAAGACAAATTTTTCAACAATTAGCTTAATGTTGGTTCAAGAAATTAAGGCTGGCAATTTATGACTGAAATCGTTAAAGTACATTTTTCTGTAAGTAGTATTAAGGCTTACTTTATCCCGCCTTATTAGTAGTACATGATTGAGCTTTTATTAGCTCAGAAGTATACCCAAAAACTATTTCTTGTGCAATCTTAACTAAGACGTTACTCGTTGGTTTGTAAAAATAATCTATTAACTGACACTTGTAGAGGTCGATAGGAGCGGCAAAATTTGAATAGCCTACTTTTGGAAGTCGGTTAAAAAATTTAGTTTTTATTAAAAGCTCATGGATACGCGTCCAAAGACACATGCAATAACTATGCTCTTACGTATATACGTGCTCTAGATTACAGCTATGTATATTAGTAACTACCGCGATTTTTTAGTATGATAAACTTTGCCAGACGTTTTCACCACTTTAAAGATGTGTTAATATAGACATATTCTGTAAAAATTTAAGCCTCCTAGGTAATAAATCAGTCTGGACAAAACAAGATTTAGTTAAAAAGAGAACGGTTTCAATATCTTCTTTTATGTATAAGTCAAATTCTCAGTCAATAATAAGTGCAATTCTTGCGCAGAATGGTTTTCATGTAATAAATATTATGAAAAATTAATAGGATAAAGGGCGTACAAGGAAAACTAAGAGCTGGCGACATTGAGTGCGAGTTGAAAAAAAGAGAAGTTCCCACGGTGACATTACAAGCATATAGGAAGAAGTCATGCTACATCTTACAAGACGACAGGCTCAACCCTCTCTTCACAGTTAGAGAACTAATGCAATTTGCCACCGATCTGAAGCTGGGCAACTCGTTACCTAAAGATTTAAAAAATTTAGTAGTAAGTATTTTTGTAATCTTATTTTTATATAAGTTTTGTCGAGTAAAAATCAGCTTAGTCAATAAGATAATTTTGTAGCCATGAGAATATAGCAAGTATTTAAATTATATTTTGTGTTTTATATTTAACTATGCCAAATAAATATTATAATAAATATTTATTCGTAGACGCCAAAGAGTTAAAACAGCTAGGTACGTTTATATTTTAAATACAACTTATCTTGTCGTATTTTTTCGCGGATTTCGATTTCAGGTTCCCGACGTTTTAAATGCAAAAAAATTAATGAATCTATATAATATTTTTCCTTAACATACTTGCATTGTACATATATGGTAAAATAAATATAACATTAAAAATATAACTCATATTTACATCATTAAATATTTATAATTAAAAAAGAGTAGCAGTACCCACGGCTTTGCCTGCGTTCAAACTTCCGATCGCTACCAAACTTCAGCGGATCACCCGCTGGTCTAACCTGAAGATTGCCTGGAAATTTCATCAAATTCGCTCCAGTCGTTTTGGAGTCCATAGGCAACATACATACATACCCATATTGAGTTTTGATTTTTATATACATATATAGATATGAGAAACATACCACCAAATGGTCTACTCTCTACATATTCATATAATCATGTTTTAAATAAATTGTAAAATATTCCATGTATTTCAAGTATACTTAAAAAGTTCAGATTTGCTACAATGTGAAATTTCTGAACAGAAATGAAAGATTCATTAAATTAAGGTGATGAAGCTACTTCTAGTACATATAGTACATTCCTTTTACAGCTATATTTGTTTTTTCTTTCGAGAATAACTCAGTTTCTACTGGATGAAGATATGATAGTGGTGGCTCGAGGACCCGGGGTCGCGTACCCGTATGTCCTAAAACAAATATCGGATAGATAATTGGCAGGACAACCTCTGAGTTAAACGAGTCGAGAATAACTCAGTTTCTATATAACTAAATTAAATTAAAAATAAAAAACCCCCGACATGTAATCCGCTATTTTGTGGCCGCGGCCATCTTGGACCAATTTTCATCAAACATAGCTAAGAACACTCCTGACTAATTCACCTTTCAAACAAAAAAAAAACAATATCACGCAGACACGTCGTCGTCGTTTTTGCGTCGGGGGTTAATACAGTGACTTGCTCTCGCTTCACTCGGGTGCGTTATAGATATGAATAGTTATTTCGTGTGTACCTTAGAAGAAAGACTTATGGTATTGCAGATTTTTTTGTAGGTCCTTTTAAGACTTACAATTTTCTAGTACATTGTTCTGATATATCTCTTAAAGCAGTGTTTCCCATTTGGTGGCTCGCGACCCGGTACCGGGCCATCAAAATAAAATACCGGGTCGCAGCATTCCCGACATATTCGAGACAAGACCATTGATAGATTTTTGGTTATATCTTCTCTTCAAGAATATACTAAATTAGCTAATCAAGCAATAACTTTTTTGATGCCTTCCTATAAGTGTAAAGCTAAAAATAATTGTAGAAACCGACATGAAGTGTAAAAATAAATGTCTAAGGACGACGTGATAGAACCTTGGTGATTATAAAAAGTTTTATATAAGAAATTTTTTACAATTAACTTCAAAAACTATAACAGTTATTATTTTCTTAAAATAAATATTAAAATTCCGATAATTATATTTTTTATGGAGATTTCTATAAACGTTTGTTTTATTTAAAGATTTTCGAAACAACGGTAATTTTTAATGAGTAAACTTTTTAGTTTATGGTATTAAAAACCCAAAGAAAAAAAACATTCAAATATTTTCATTATAATTGGTTTCCGTCATTTTTCATTTATAATGACTAATTGCACTCGACTAAAAGTTCCTATTGTACCTACTATGCTTAAAAATTATTCTGGATAGTAATTAAATCTGGAAGTATATTGAGTGAATAATATTATTTATTATTGTGTTCAGACCTTTTTTAAAGTCCCGCTACTGGGCACGGGCCTCCCTTGAATACGAGTTAGGAGTGTTATAGAATATTTCCGGCCTGTTTTTAGTTAAAATAACATTTTTGGCAGTTGGTTTTTAAACTTCTTTGTAGAGTAAAATGTTCTTATGATGATTATAACACCTGAAATTGTGTGTGAAACAGTATCTTGGGTATTCCAACTTTATTTACTACGATAGGGTTTATATACGTAGATACATATTCCAAATGCTCCCACGTCTGTTAAGATTTGCTTGTAAGATAAAATCAGATAGATATCATAAAACCAATTCATTTTCCAAGCTCAATGATTAATTAGTTGTACTAAACTATATTACTTATGATCTTATGGGTATTTGACAAGATATTACATTAGAAACAGGTACTCGTAAGTAGGCAAGTTATTAAACTGGTACAGATGCCTGTCGCAAGCAAGGACAACATTATTACTCGTATATCGTTGATAATATTACATGTACATGCAATAATTTATGAAAATTATTTTGGCATTCAATGATACGTAAACCGACGAGATATTTGAGGAAACTGGAATCAATGATAGATATTTTATATTCTGGGCTAACATATAGATCTGAACTTAAAATTCGAGCGCACTGCTTAGCAACGATGTAAGAAAAAAATAGACACTTTTTACACAGGAAAAACAAGACGCAGACTGAAGCCACTATGGATATTTATTATTTACTGTATTTAATTTTTTCCAAAGTATTGGACGGATTTGTTATGGTCTTTTACATTTAATAGTTATTATATTTCCATAATATTTTTTTAACCTAAGGGTATACCTAAAGGCTTCTAAATCACTTAAAAGTAATTATATCACCAGTAAATAGATTATTTTATATAGAACAACCCACGAGGTAATATTTATATCGTATTCGTTAAAAATAGAATTATAAAATTCGATTCCTATTACCTCCTCATTTTCTTCGAAAGCTTTTGCAAAGAACATATGTAGGGTGACACTAATAAAACTTCGAGATATTCCTTGCATATATTCTTATATTCAGAACTTTTACAACATCATCTCATTTTTTTTATAGTCGTCAGTATGTCTGTCCGTTAAGAAGCTACCACCGACACGGAAAGAAGTTTAGGCGAGAAACTCTAAAAAAGTTGCTGTTTTAAATAACGAGTTACATAATTTATAATAGCATTTTACAGTATAACAAACAATTCATGACTAGCCATTACAAGATGATATCGACATTTCCCTCTTTCTACCCAAAAGCGCGGGACAACAAATGAAAATCTGCGCCATTTTATTTTTTATTTTTCATACATTCCTACCGGCAAAGGTCACATAAATAAATACTTTATACATCATTACAAATAAGTCAAATATATTAATTTCTTTCATTAAAACATATAGAAAAATGCAACCTTACACAAGATAGCATGAAAATGTAGATATTTAAGCTTTAGATACATGGTAATCAATTTTTATGTCAAGAATACGAGTCCTCAACTCTCTGGATCGATTCGTTTGTATAAATTCAATTCGTATAAGAAATCGCGCAACACGCCACAGTGATACTAAAAGAGGTAGCTTCACTTTTATTTGTGCTTGTTCTATAAATAATAAATTCTATTTGTCTTATTCTTTCCATCAGATCATAAGCGAAAGCTATTCTATATATATTTTTTATGATTCAGTACTATCAACGTAACGATTATAAAAGAATTATATGAGATATTTAACTGTTAATAACTTAATCACATAGTTTATCTCACCTTTGACCTTTAACCATTTTTATGGCTAATTTTACAACTTTTAATGACGTTTATCTATCTTTAACTATCTATAGTTACACATAATAAAACTGCAGAGGTCGACTGTCTGTACATGCTAAAAACAGAGTCAGAGGGATGTAAGAAGAGAAATAGAACAAATCCAGATTTTTTTGTTTCTCTGTCTGTTTGTCTATTTGTCTGTTTGTACGGGCTAATCTCCGAAACTGTTAGACCGATTTAAATGAAATTTTGCATGGTACCTTATATCCCCGGTCAACATTTTAGATACTTTCATCCCGGAAAATTAAAGAGTTCCCGTGGGATAGTTAAACTATAGTAAATTTACGCGCTGCTATAAGAACAACTCGTTGTTATCACGCTGCTGATTATGATGAAATTAATTATGAGCTTGGTGCTATTGATTGGAAGGAAGAATTCTCATTATTGGATGTGTCAGCGGCAGCAGATAAATTTTATTTAATAATTAATAATATAGTGAGCAAACTAGTTCCAACTAAAGTTGTCAACGAAAACAGTCGATATTCAATATGGTTTTCTAGACTTTTAATCAAACTAATTACAAGGAAATTAAAATTACATAAAAAATGGAAAATACATGGTAGATTAAGTGATTATGATAGATTTTGAGATCTTCGTCGACAGACAAAGAGTCTTGAGGCAGATTGCTATGATTCCTTCACGGTAAGATCTGAAAATAATATAAGCTACAATTCAAAATATTTTTGAACTTCCTTAAATCTCAGAGATGTTCTAATACTATTCCTGACGTAATTTATTTTAGTGAAGAAGAGGCGTCTGACGGCCAATGCCTTTAATTTATTTTTTAAATCAGTTTTTGAAAATGACTATAATTTTAGCCCCGATGGCCTTCATGCTACGTTTCTAAAGAAATCAAGAAAACAAATCTCATTTCCAGTATACTTACTTTACTGCCGCTAGTACCTAGTAATAAGTAATACATAAAGCTGAAACTCTGTTTGTTTTGTTTGAACATGGTAGTGTCTTTAATTATAACCCGATATTAAAAAATCTATATTTTATAGCCTTGTAGGCTATCTCACGTTACGCTACCACATGAGTAAAGATAAAAAACAAAATTAAAAATTTTGAAAAAACCCACGACGGTTAAAAAGTAATTTAAAAAGGATAAAATAATTAAAAAAACCCCGACTTAAAAAATAACTGTAACTAGAGATAATAAACGTAAAAAGATTTAATAAGTAGAGCTGATCTCTCGCGGAGTCGGTCATATATGTAAACAATAGAGTATCAATTTTCATAGCATTTCCCTACGTACCTACCTCTTTGTTTCTCGATAATTGTAGATGTGGCAATAACATATTTAACTACCTATAAACTTAATAAAAGAAACCAAGAATATCCGTCCGCGGCTGCATCAAAATCGGGCTAGTAGCTTTGGAGAAAAGTGTCAACATTAATTTACACAAACAATGTTTGCTGCAGCGCTCCCTGGTGAGTTGTCACCGTAACACCTATCATAATAACTGCATCAAAATCGTAGTAATAATTTTGAAGAAAAATGGCAACATGTATTTGCACAAACAAACAAACAAACAGACAAACAAACAAACAAACAAACAAACAAACAAACAAACAAACAAACAAACAAACATCCTCTCACCCCAAACGCAAAGCTTCTAAGGAGCGGAGAAAATGTTTACCTATTCTGGTAAGGGTGGCACAGGAGCATAAAATTAAATAAATAAAACGTTTATCAGCTTTTCATTAAAGAATTGTGATAGAATTTCTTTTTAGGCACGACTTAGTCAATTTTTTTTGTTTTGTAATTTTTGTTTTTTAATAATTTGTTGTAACCTTTAATTGAATGACAAAATTCTAAATCTAACATAAAGTTTTTTATATAATCTAATGGAAAGCACTCTCATGGCATATCAAATTTACATTCTTGCACACGCATTAAAACACTTTCAAACCGTAAAACGATAGCAAATACAACGCGCAGCATCCAGCAGCGACGACTGAGCCCTGAGTATGAACTTTGAGCACACGCCGATCCAATATAAACCGGTTTTTTTTCCGTATGCGACGAAGCCGCTAGTGCTCACGCACACACGCGCCTCGAGCTTGTAGTAGTGTACCTATCATGACATGGTTGTATGAAGCTTTGTCTCTGTTCCTTTTCTTTACTCATGTGACGCTACGCTGTGATCGCTTAAGAGCAGAGCAATGATATATAAACATATATACCTAGGTCCAGTCGCGGGCAAACGCTAATTGTTATACAAATAACAATATTCGCTCTACATTCGTGTGTATTTATTCCTATTTAGTTTGTGGTTTTACACATAGTTTACAATTTAAGTTAGGTCAAGTGAACATTTTTCACATACCCACATAATTTAACTCTCACTTTGTAAAGGATATGCTCGACGTTTTTTAAATTGTTAATTAAAATACACATATTTTGTATATTTCAATTAACAATTTAAAAAAACGTCGAGCTTAATCAAACGGCCAAAATTGTAGTGGTGAGATATTTTTTTATCTATTAATTCATATACGAAGTATTCCCAAGGAGGGTTAATGTCAGGTAGGCGGCCGGTTTTAAAACTTTTGCCAAATCCTATCCGCAGTACGGAAGATATAATGCACTGACCCCAAGTAATTGGGAAATGCGCAGGGAGATGATGAACTCGTATACAAAGTATTAGAAAACAAATTGTCTTACTTGTTATTGGCCTGACATTAACCAGTATTTTTTTACAGATGAACGAAGTTCTGAATATATTGGGATTGATTGGCGCTGAAAACACTAGATGCTGCAATTTATCTGGCGGACAGAGGAAGCGTCTATCCATCGCTGTAGAGCTCATCGACAACCCGCCGGTCTTATTCCTTGACGAACCCACCACGTAGGTGAATTTTTTTAAGATTAAATCATAAAACGCATTTAGGCATGGAATACTCGTATGACTGACATTGTTTATGCCACCGAAAGTCTTGCAAGTATTTAAATAAGATACACAATATCTTCTATACGTATACAGTTATGTTTTGATTAACAGACCATAAGTCCACCATTCTGACCCGTAGAATACACTTCAATAACATTTGTATACGAATACTCACTCGTCAAAAAGATGATATTAAAACAATTTAATAGTAAACTACCCTTTAACAACCTATAATAACCTTTTAATAACCTTTTCCCCTTGTTAACATTATTGTTCCTCTCGTAAATTAAGAGGCCTATTACCTACATTATGACCGTGATTTTTCAATTTAATGCCCATCTTTGACGTTCTTATTCAGAGAAACTGAAATTCTTCAACAATTTTAACTTACTTTATGGTGGAGAATAGTTATTAATATAGTTCACAGCGGCCTCGCTTTTCGCCAATTTTCACTGTAAATTGAAATAAAGTCAAAATTCAGAAGCAAGTTTTTAATAAAATGCGAGATGACACATTTTCAACTTCATGGATTCAAATACTATACCGAGCAAACGAAATGAAAAATATATAATAATATCTCGTATATAGTGGTTGAGCTTATAGCGGCCTCGGAATTTAAAAATATGTATTAGATGTTTACAAAAAAAATCCTTTTCAAATATTAGAAACTACTAAAAACGTTCAGAATTAGCAGTAAATATATCTTTACAACATTAATATTTTTAAGCAAAATTTATACCAGAATATACGTTAGTTCAAAAGAAACGTAATTACATTTTTTTTATAATATATTATAAAAACTTTACATAGAAGTAATTAGGTACAACTGTCGAAAATGCTAGAAACAGCGATGCGTCGGCCGCTCGAACTCAATGCCATTGAACGCAATACATTTTGTGATAATATTCAGCCCATTTTAACGTCCCACTGCTGGTCACAGGTCTCCCTTCAACTTTTTTTCTTTACTATGAGATCAGGCCATCCGCTATAGTCCATCACGCTGGCCAATTGCGGGTTGGTGAACTTCATATATCTTTCGAAAACTTGCTAGGTTTTCTCAGACATGTAGGTTTACTCATGATATTTTCCTTCACCATAAGACAAATGGTAACCATGTTGGAAACGATTCATACATAAAAATATCAGAGGTGTGAGACCCGGGATTTGAACCCACTTCACTCGGTTTCCCAAGCGAGCGCCTTACCACTGGGTTTTACGCAACGCGGGCACGCGTTTTACGCAAGCAGTGGTACCATTGCTTGCGTAAAACGTAAATTAACACTTAATATTAACATAGGTACATAATAACTTTGTTTTGTGGGGGAAATAATCTGTGTAATGTGCCTAATTATAATTAACACATGCTTGGTTCAGTAATGAAATGAATATAAATCAACCACCTCGTTATCTATGATTAAAATTGTCTGAATCTCATCCTAATTTTATTAATAAAAAATATTTTCTAAAGGCTTATTAATAATGTTGCTTTATTGTTATTTACTACGTCGGAAATTGATGTTATTAATTTTTATAGCAGATAAGTATTTAGCAGAACACGTTTATTGCAAGTACTATAATTATGTATCTGCCATACAATGCACTTACTGACTTTTAACCCTTCCTTTATAAACAAAAGATTTATTGTGTTTCACACAATAAATCCTTAGTTTACTCTGGTTAATTATTTAATTTTAAAAATTAAAAATTACAAAAATGAGCGCATCAATTATTATTATACATAGCTACGTGTTGCACGTTTTTAACACATTTTATAAGTTTTAAGGTTACTTTAGAAAAATAGAGGTTGCAGAGTCAAATCAATTAATTTAGATTTTCATTTCATTTTCATACGAAACACATAATCAGGGAATAAATCAGGGAACTTACTAATCAAAAGTTTGCCGATACCTAGTTTAGAAAAAAATCACCTGTTTGAAAGGAAAGTTTTTGGACCTGATCAATCATCATCTAAATCATATATGTATTTATATTTAATGCCAATATTATTTTCAGGGGCTTGGATAGCTCAACGTCATTACAATGCATAACAATGCTAAAGGGGCTCGCACGTGCCGGTAGAACAATAATATTTACAATACATCAGCCTACGGCGACTATGTACAAGTTGTTCGACCAAGTACGTAGTTAATAAACATAAATTTAGTTAACACCTCCAGGTAAATTTCTAAGAAATTAATTAAATTTCTCAGAAATCTATTGTTAACTGCATCGCCGGCGTGTCCGCGATCGTGGAGGGATTAACTAGCATTGCCCGCGGCTCCGACCGCGTTCAGATGACCAAAAACCAAATTCTTAGGTTTTATATATTAGTATACTCTTACATTGCTGTTTTTGTACTTTTTCTCAGAAATGAGATATTTTTCCGCGGTAGAAGGTATCCTATATGTTGACCCGGATAACCAGCCATCACAATACCAACTTTCATCAAAATCCCTCAAAAAGTGGTTTTTCTGTGATGCGGTAACAGACAGACAGCCAGGCAAAAAATCTAAAAACTATAGAATCGACCTCTCTATCGCTAATAATGTTTATTTCAATAAGATTTTCCAAAAAATATTTAATGTACAGATTCGCCTTAGTTACAATTTTATTATATGTGTAAATTGGACAAATATGTAATATATTGTTATATAATTTTGAGATAAGAACTGATTATAAATAAATCTTCTAGCTTATTTAATAAAAAAAGCTAGAAAATTTATTTACTACTACATAAAAATACTACATAAAACTTATTTACTAAATATAGTATTTAATTAATTTAGCTAACTACGATTTTGAAATCGCATTTATTTAAATACGCTATATTTTTATCAGTTAATTATGTATACGTAACTTATAACGTTTTAAATCAACAATTATGATAAACGATTGCATTGTATATTATTCTTCTATTTAACATCAGTTTATATGCTTAAAGCTAAAAAATAGTCATGGGTCACTCATTAGAACTTTACTAAAGAAAAAACTAAATTAACTACACTAAATTATGCGATTTATTTTGTTGGAGGTGGAAAGTTAAATAATTTAGGAGAAGCTCTATTGAATCATTTTTTAAGAACTATGTTATTCTGATTTTAGAATCAATTAAAAATTTTTTAAGATAATCCACTACATATAAACAAACTAACGTTTCCTGGTTTATAATAGCGTAATATAAGGAAATCAATTCTCGTTTACTAAAGATTTGTATAAATACTTGTATGTATTGTATTCAGCCCTTTTTAACGTCCCACTGCTGGGCACGGGCCTCCCTTCAATACGAGGGGGATCAGGCCATAGTCCACCACGCTGGCCAAGTGCGGATTGGCGGACTTCACATGTCTTTCGAAAACTTGCTAAGTTCTCTCAGACATGCAGGTTTCCTCACGATGTTTTTCCTTCACCGTAAGACAAGTGGTAATCATGTTAGAAATGATTCGCACATGAAAATATCAGTGGTGCGAGACCCGGGATTTGAACCCACTTCACTCGGTTTCCCAAGCAAGCGCGTTACCACTGGGCTACCACTGAATAATAATAAAAATAAATACTTGTATTTGTATAAATTACTATTTAATATTATAGGTCTACATTCTCGCGGAAGGTATGTGCATTTACAGCGGGCCCAGCGCAGACACGGTGCCGTATCTAGCCTCCTTGGATCTACACTGCCCTAAATATCATAATCCTGCTGATTATAGTAAGTATTCTTACATTCTATGAATTCGGACGTCGGAAATTAAAGCACGTCTTTTGCACTCTTGTTGGTTGTCAGGAGTGACTTATTTTCATTTACATACTATTACTAACACACGCAGTATATGTATAGGTACGCAGTACTGATTAGTTCAATCACTGAACAGTGAACACTAATGTTCACTTTTCTTCACTTTTTCACTTTTTCGTACTTCTTCTCAGTCTTCACTTAGCTTCAAAATTTAATCGATCTCTCGACAGTCGACACACTACCGGCCTTCTTTAACCTTTGACGCATAAAGAGGGGTGTTATAAGTTTGACTGTTTGTCTGTCTGTCTCTAAGTGTGTGTGTGTGTGTGTGTGTGTGTGTGTGTGTGTGTGTGTGTGTGTGTGTGTGTGTGTGTGTGTGCGTGTGTGTGTGTGTGTGTGTGTGTGCGTGCGTGCGTGCGTGCGAGCGAGCATGCGTGTTTGTGTGTGTGCGTGTGTGTCTGCGTGTGCGTGTGCTTGTGTGTGTGTGCTTGTGTGTGTGTGTGTGTGTGTGTGTGTGTGTATATGTCTGTGGCACCGTAGCTCTTAAACGAATGAACCAATTTGGATGCGTTTTTTTAAATTTGAAAGCTAGTTTCTTGACGACGGTCTTAGACATGTTTTATTGCAAGCGCATGATGTGTATATTACAATTAGACATGTTTTATTAAAATCAGTTCGGCCACAGTAGACACGGGGGTGAAAGTGGGGTTGAATAATCGAATATTTTCAAATATACCTACCCAAGTGGGATATCAAAAGTGGGACGCAAAAAGAAGCGTGTCTGTTGCATTGTAACTCCTAAAAGAATGGAACGATTCAGATGCGATTTTTTTTGTTTGAAAGCTGACGTGATCGAGATCGTTCTTAGCTATAATTTATAAAAACCTGTTTAGGCGTTTGATAATTATTTTTTTTTATAAAATAATTTTTCTAATCAATAAATTAATTCTTCTAATCATAAAATAATTCTTCTAATCATGTACTGGTGCAGCATCCTGCATCTCCGTCGTCGTAATAAAAGTAAAATAATAGTAATGTATATGAATAATTAGCGACTATCTGCGAATAGTTTGAGTCATAAGAGTTGCGTGTAATGAAACATTAAAGTTTCCACCTATGCATGTAACATCTTTAATAGGTACTAGCGACTCACCCTCGCTTCGCTCGTCCCTAGGTTGATTCCCCATACAAACTTTCATCCCCATTTTCACCCCCTTAAGGGAAGATTTATTAATTAAAGAGATATTACCCGCTAATGAGTAGACTATTATGATAATTTATACATTTGTTATTCCTGATTTTGTTTTAAATTCAAATGGTTTAATTCTTTTGGCTTATTCGACGCACGCCATTAAAGCTGCCAGTCCGCAAGACTTTTACCGACATCTTCAATATATAATTAGGTATCGTTATTTTTCAGCCAATTTACACAGAACGTTAATGAATGATACACCTAAACCTTCCTTTAGTTTATTCCTCTATATTTTAAATGACGCCTACTATTGGTGAAAACCGTTTCAAAATCCATTTGGCAGTTTTTGAGTTTATCCCGTTCAGACAAACAGACAGACGCGGCAGGGAGAATTTTTTGTATGACTGTTACGTATTGTGTATGGTATGCCAAAATAACAGTTGTTGAAATTTTTGTGTTTGTCTCTATGGCTGTTTATTTGTTTGTTTTTCTCGCAAAAAGTAATGAATGAATTTTAGTTAAGTACATAATGACAATTTATTACTCCGGTCAACATTTAGCATACCTTTTACTAGGGAAAAATCTATAATTAAAAAAAATGCAAAAACTGCAATGTAAGAGTATACTAATATGTAAAACCTAAGTATTTGGTTTTTGTTCGCCTGAACGCGGGCGGAGCCGCGGGCAATGCTAGTATATTATAAAAATGTAGTATATTTTAAAAATAAAAAACCCGACTGCATAAAAGCTAACTAAAAAGATGAAAACAAGTTCACGATGGAATATAGTATTATGCAGTTATATATATATACTACCTGGGCAACAAAGCTTCGCTCGGAATTATTGGCCAAAAAAAGTAAAAATGACTTACTGGGTTTCGAACTCAGACACCTATGACTGTCAACCTTGCGACTTAGCCGCTTGAGCACGATGTTTATATCAGAGCATGCAAAATTATCGACCATAATTTGCGTGGAATAATGCGAAAGAAAGACGCATGAAAACTCGAAACCTGCGTTTTCCTAGACTATATATATATAAGCTAATAGCTATACACATAATATCGGTACATATACTTTTTAAAGAACAAATAATAATGTAACAATCAAAAGGATTAATTCCTTAATGTATAAGTGTTCTTTTAGACGTTTTTCAAATCTTGTTACTAGTACCTCTACCTTTAGAGGTAGACTTTAAAGAATCATTAGGTTCGGTTCAAAACTTGAAGGTGATAATATCGCGTGTATGTTACAGTTCGAGTTCAGTACCTTTTCCGTTTATGAAGTTTGAAAACCATATACTTACGAGTATATTCTAGATCATTCGTTGTATATACATATAATGTGTTCCATTTTTTTGCAGTTTTGGAAATAGCGAATGGCGAATATGGGAAATTCAACGAATTCTTAAACTCTAAATTATGTAGTCAACACTACTTTAACGAAAAATCTCCAGTTCAATGCGTAGAAGAAACGCTGTCGATGGAGTCGTCCGGGAAGACGAACGTCGCAATCAAGAAACCTCACGAGCTTTATAAGTTCAGCGTTCTTTTTAGAAGATGTATAATACAACAATATAGAGATTGGGTGAGTTTTTATAATATTTTTTTTACCAGATTAGGGAAGGTTATTTACACGACTACGGAGGTTTATGATTTCAGCAAGCTATATTATACATATTTATTATGCACATATGTTTGTATATATATATCATGTATGTTCATCTGTTCCTGCATATCTTGTAAGCTACCTATCATAATTTGAGGTATCGTTTGAAGCTTCTTTCTTTTCTTTTTTCTTCTCGTCTTTATCAACAGCTGGTTAAAGGCTATGTGACGTCACGCTATATTCAATATGGCGCCCTCTAGAGGACATAAAGTTCTGTATTAAAATAGAAATATTTTAGAGTGCGATTTTATCTGCGGTCAGGTTTTAGTCGTTAAACTTATATATTGTTGCTATAGTAATTCATTATGACATATTATTTTAATAAAAATTCCTTGCCACCGTTAATCTAACATTGTAGGTAGGTAGTATATAATAGGGTAAGATGCGTTCACCTTGTCGTACTAGGGGAGGCTCATTAGCGTCCGGCAATCCAGCCGGGCGCGAGGTCAAGAAACGCAATGGGAGGCGGCCCACCTCGGTGGGTGGTGAGCCACGCGTGTTAGTCCTGGTACTTCTCTGATAGCAGAGTGAAACGTTGGAGCATCCCCATGGCTGTTGTGGTCTGCTTTGTCAGACCTGCCGTCGGGGCGTCGTGGTTGAGTGCGTAAGTGATCGAGTGTGACGCCCCATTAAGACAGGGGATGTTTTGCTGGGTTTTAGTAGGCCTTTTTTACTGGCTTTTCTAGCCGGTGAGTCCCACATAACCACCTGTATATGTACAGGTAATATGCGTAAATGCATTTCCCAACATTTAAAAAAAAGGATAAGGTGGTGGTGGTGTAAGTAGGAACCAAATTCGTCCATGGTAGGAACGTATGTTTTAGTTTTTTCTCTAATATTAACTTTAAGGCTACCTACTTGGATTTATTTTATAAATAAAACTAGCGACACACCCTCGCTCCGCTCGGGTTCATCCCTGCTTGCGTTTTAACGTTTAGTATAGATTTCTCAGAGATGGTAGGTATATTTACCCGCAGTAAAAAGTAGGTATCCTATATGTTGACCCGGATAACCAGCTATCACCATACTAAATTTCATCAAAATTTCTCCAGTGGTTTTTCCGTAATGCGGTCACAGACAGACAGACAGTCTAAAAAATTCTAAAAACTATAGATTTGGCCTGTGTATCGATAATAATGTCTATTTCAATATGATTTTGAAAAAATATTTAATGTATTGATTCGGCTTGGTTACAATTTTATTATATGTAAATATAGATAAATAATGATTATACTAGAGGTATAATCATAAAAACCTTGATTGACGGCAGAAGTGAATAAAATCTATTATATTATAAGATTCCGCGCCGCGGAAAACTAACTATGCAATAATTTTATTAAATAATTTCTTATAATTATTTCTGTGTGTCTCACAGACAGTAATTAGTATGTTTACCAATTACCAAGTTAGTATATGGGGCCAGGCATTATCTAAGATTAATTTACGTTTTGTAATATCATTACATTTCTAATTAAAAATAATGACAATTGAAATTATTATGATCACGCTTCTATAATATGCATATATTTTGTTTCAGACTGTGACACATTTAAAGATACTTTTGCATATAGCAGTGGGAGTTTTAATAGGATTGTTCTACGATCATTCAGGCAACGACGCATCGAAAACTTTCAGCAATCTCAGTCTACTCCTGATATCGCTCGCTTACCTATGCTATACATCGCTAATGCCTGCGGTGTTAAAGTGTAAGTACTTACATAATATCATATTATATATTTATAGAGTAGTTTATCCTCACGATGCAATATGTACCTACTGCTTATTGAATGAAGCTCGTGTATGAGATGGGCTGGCTTTATAAATTACTAGCATTGCCTGCGGCTCCGCCCGCGTTCAGATGACCAAAAAGCAAATTCTTAGGTTTTACATATTAGTATACTCTGACATTGCAGCTTTTGTATTTTTCTCAGAAATGAGATATTTTCTCGTGGTAAAAAGTATCCTATATGTTGACCCGAATAACCAGCTGTCACCATACCAAATTTCGTCAAAATCACTCCAGTGGTTTTTCTGTGATGCGGTAACAGACAGACAGACAAAAATTCTAAAAACTATAGATTCGGCCTCTGTATCGATAATAATGTTTATTTCAATAAGATTCTCCAAAAAATATCTAATGTACAGATTCGGCTTAGTTACAATAATCTATACATATAATAAAATTGTAACTAAGCCGAATCTGTACATTAAATATTTTTTGGAAAATCTTATTGATACAGAGTACAGACATTATTATCGATACAGAGGCCGAATCTATAGTTTTTAGAATTTTTGTCTGTCTGTCTGTTACCGCATCACAGAAAAACCACTGGAGGGATTTTGATGAAATTTTTGTATGATGATAGCTGGCTATCCGGGTCAACATATAGGATACTTTTTACCGCGGGAAAATATCTCATTTCTGAGAAAAAATACAAAAACTGCATTGTAAAAGTATACTAATATGTAAAACCTAAGAATTTGCTTTTTGGTCATCTGAACGCGGGCGGAGCCGCGGGCAATGCTAGTTTTATTATATGTATAGATATGGGAATGAACAAAACATTGATCGATTGAAATAAGATTTTAACTCTTCAGACTGCAAAAAATGTAGTTTTTTGAATCGATTATAGATTATACTGACCCTTTATATGTCGTGTTATAGGTAAGTAAACGAAGTATTATTTAGTTTGAAACTTATATTACAATTGAATTTTAAACTTTAAGAGGATTCTCTGTTCTCTTTGTTTTATGATTTAAAAAATCCCACATGTCAATATAATATTATTTTTATCACTATCGAAATTGAATTTCTATATTGAGAATAATAAAAATAAGTTTATTTTATAAGAATTTAAACTTTAAAGATGTAAGTACGTCCCACCTTCCTTTAAAGAAACTAGAAACATAGATATGACAGGAGCACGGTGTCTGGTAAAAAATGCAAACAAGGTTTATGCTGCCATTATAAAGTTGTTTTATATGTATAGCAATAATAAGTTAAATTGGTTCATTCATCATTATTATACTCATTACGGACAATTACGTTGGTAAATGAAAGGATACATGGAACCAATAGAAAAACATAAAATTACAGTAGATGTCATGACTTCTAAGTAAAATAAATTATCATAAAAAAAACCTCGTATTACTCGTAGGTAGAAACATATAGAGGTCATGGGGTCGTGGGTACATACTCGTACAAGTACGTTGCTACTGACAGTCAAAATTAGAATGTTAAGTAAATGAGAATACTACGCTTTAGAACATATTTTATCAAAAAAACAGGAAAAATAAAAGAATCCGCTGAATAACTATGTAACTTACGTCATAAACCTGTGCAGCGTGCATTATACTTATATATATTTTATTGACAAAAATCAATGCAAGCAAACTAAGTAGGTACTTTAAATAACGAAGAATATAGATAAATAACACTTGTAGCTTGATTGTGATAGTGATTCTGTAAGAAGTTTTAGAGTGATTTAGTAGGAGTGATGAAGTAGAATAAATCAGACCAGCCTATTTGCTTTCAAAAACACTTCAAATGGTTAGTGACTATTAGTTGGCCACTAAACTCATTTTTTTCTTTTAATCTCACATAATCAATACAACCTCAGCCCTGACTCCGGACTCAGACTCGGGGGCCATGACCTTCGGCCGCATAAAAATGAGCACGCTGATATTTAAAAAAAAACATTGAAAAAACAAAAAAAAGAAATACAGTTATTGTTGATATTTTATATATAAAATTAAAATAATAATCTGATCTCGTATATGCACTACATACGTTACAATGTAGATTTAGATGTAATGTACGTAATCTATATTAATATTATAAAGACAAGGTCATAGATTGCATCCTGGGATCGCTCGGATCGGACATAGGCTACCCTTGAACCCCGGCCCGTTATCACGCGATTGAAACCGCAGTTAATAACAAGTGGTAAAAATTTAAAAACCCCTGACAATCTTGGACCGATTTTCATCAAGCATAGCTAGGAACACCCCTGACTAATTCACCTTTCAAACAAAAAAAAACAAAATCAAAATCGGTTCGGCAATTACGATGCCACAGACAGACACACATACACACACACACAAACACACACAGACAGACACGTTAAACTTATAACACCCCGTCATTTTTGTGTCGGAGGTTAAAAACTACGGTTACATACCTACGATATATTAAGAAACTTACTCAGGTACATGAAATGTAATCTCAAAAACCGTAGCATAGCATTATAATATACAACTAGCAACTACTGACCTATTGTGTAAAAGCAGCTACAAGTTGCCACATTCAACATGATGTCCTTTAAATATTACAAATGCATAACTTAAATTAATAAGAAACTGTATTCTATAGCTTCAAGTATGTTAAATGAGTACCTAATTTATTTACTAGTTCCTGATGAGTTACCGATTTTGAAGAAAGAAAATTTTAATAACTGGTATAATCTGAAGACCTATTACGCGGCTATATTAGTGACGAGCATACCATTACAGGTAACTTTCTGTGAATTTCAATTTACCATTAGGTACCCTTCGATGGTTAATTACTTTAAGTACCTCCCCACACATCTCCTTCTAATAATTAAATGAAAAATGTAATTCATTACGAACAATTAAGCTATTTGAAGTGCAGTAATAATAAAAATATAAAACATTCATTATATTCTACTCAATATCGGACTTTATTAGTCTTAAAAGTTCGATTTATATCTGTAGTTATTGTAACAAAAATGTTACTAATTAAAGTTGAATTCTTTCAGTCAACACTCAAACTTTAACAGATCACGCTTTGAAAGTGCATAAGTGATTTAAAAAAATACATTCTAAAATCTTTGCATTCATTTGAAAAATGTGCTTTTATTTGATAGGCGACTAAATTCACTTAGAAAGGCCTGTTTGTGTCGAATTTCGGTTAATAAATATTTCATTTTGCAGATTTCATTTAGTCTAGTGTATACAGCACCGTCGTACGTGATATCTGGCCAGCCATTAGAATTATCGCGATTCTTGATGTATACATTGGTGCTCATAAACATGACGCTCATCGCTGATGCGATTGGAAACATTATCGGGACCTGCACCGATCCTGTTGTAAGTATTTCTGATAACTTCTCGCATCTAACTTGTTGAAATAAAATTCTGTTAGCTATAGACTATAGTATTGACCTTAAAGATTTTCCAGCTTTAGATAAAATAAAGCATGAGTATCCTATACTTACCTTACTTAATATGATTGTTATTATCTGACCACATTGTAGTACACATTTAGTTGATAATTATGAAGCTTATTAAGCTATCGACGAAAAATAATAGTACGGTGCAGGCGTACGTACTGCTGCGAGAATTAGTGCATTGCAAAAAATAGTCTGAATTTAGAGAAAACGAATTCTATCAAATATTTATTTATCTGAAAGAAACTGAGTGCTGCATTATGTTCGATTTATATTTTCAATCAATAGTAGAAATATTACTAATATTTGCATAATAATTTTGTTGTAAGGCATGATATAAGAAAATGAGGTATTTCTAGAACGGTACATTCTTCGGTGCGATTTCAACGTGCTTCATGATCGTGTTCGGAGGATTCCTAGTGCTGCCTTCGCATATGCCCAAGATTATGCGCTACGTCTCACACATCTCCTCTATCAAGTACGCGTTCGAAGCGCTTGCTGTCTCACTGTATTCGAACGGCCGCGCGCCGATCGTGTGCCCCGACGGACATGATTACTGCCATTTGAAGTAAGTTTTTGACCTTCATAAGGTCTTTTAATATTACTGACGTTACCATACATCGGATCAGATTTGACCGAGTAATGGTAATCACTAAAAATTGAGTCCAATTAGTAATGGTAAGCTTTAAAGTAAAGAATTGTTTTTTTATTTACATATATATCATTATATATATTTATATATATATATATATATATATATATATATATATATATAAAATAGAAGGATTTTACAGTGTCGTTAAATAAAATTGCAATGAATAAAAATCAAATGTACTTAAGCGAAAAGAACTCAAAATTATTATTTTATCGTCGTACGGCTTTTAAGATCTTTGCTTTGCCATCTACATTTAAAGACAAATTATTTTGATTAAACTTGGTATAATTACCGTTTATAAATCAAAATAAATTGATAAAAAATGATCATTCAAGTCAAAGATGCCGATATTCATTAAGATATTATTTATCTATAAGTTTGTTTTTATTTATTTTTTATTAAAGATTAAAGAATAAAAACAAAGTTTTATGTATAGCACATTAAGTAATGTGAATTAATCAAATAAAAAGTAACTTTTTAATCTCTTTTTATTTAAGTACCTATTCTGTTTGTGTTTGCTCTATCGTAAACGATAATACGTAACTTACTTAATCTTGGCGTGATAGCTAATAGTGCAAAGTTTAAAGGGCGCTTTAGGCCATAAATTACAGGCTTTTAAAAGATGAGATGAAAAGATGTTGAAAATTATGAATGTGAAAATGCCACAGGAACCCAGTTTTGTTTCTAATAATTTGCAACTGAAAAAATATTAGCCAAGGATCTCTACTAGCTATTGTTAAATATGACTTTAATTTTTAATCAAAGTTTTATTGAGGTGGATTTGTTTATTTAAGATCTCTTTATATAAACTCTTAGTACAAAAATTGCTCGTTTAAAGATATAAGATAAGATAAACTCGTTTATCAAGTGACATGTTTATATTGGGAATATACCTACTTCACATTTAATTTTAAATAAATGTTAGGTCAATCTTTGTTGACAACGGAACCCTATTACTAAGCGTCCGCTGGCCGTTCGTCCGTCCGTCCGTTTGTCACAGAGCTGTATCTCATGAACCTTAATAGGTAGAGAGTTGAAATTTTCACAGAGTAATGTATGTATTTCTATTGCCGCTATAACAACAAATAATAAAAATAAATAAACTTAAACAATACAAGAAACAATTATTTAACGTTCGTAATAGATCATCGAAATTAATATACTACATACATAGAGTTAAAGTCATATTAATAAAAAGTATATGTACAATTGTACGAAACTTCTCGTATGTGATTTCGACTCGCACTCGACGGACTTTTTAGTATGGTATTTTTTTATTTTTTATATGATTAATTACAGGTACCCGAAGGAGATATTGCACTTGTTGGATATCGAATCGAACACCTATTGGCTGGATTTAGGTATTATGTTCGCTGAACTCATAGTACTAAGGTTTATAGTCTTTTATACCTTAAGGCGGAAAGTTAATAGATCGGAATAGATTAATGAATTTGCCAGAAAGTGTGAAGTGTGTTATTATTAGATATAAATGTATACTGTCATAAAGGCAGCGATTACATACAAATATATTTATATATAATAGAAAAATTTTTTAGAATAATATACTTAGTAAATTTTTTTCTAAAGATCTCGTCTGTTAGTTCTGTCACATTTACGATACACGTTATAAATATTAATCTTCAGACCTTTTAATGCGAGTGTCAATCCCATTTATAAGTACATAGGGTACAAGTGTGCGCAATAACTCTATGCATTTAAATTATAATCTAATGTAGAATTATTAAGAACAATATCAAGACGTTGTGTGTACTTTTCTTATATAAATAATTGTTTATTCTAATTAAAATTTTATTATTCTGAATAAATCAATTAAAATATTGATACGTTTGTTTATTGAATATTTACATAGTTTTAAATATGTATAAAATTATAGTGTGTGCATTTATTATTAAGTAGGTATATAAAGTTATTATAAGATTTTCTGTGATTATGTTTTCCTATAAGCACTACCTACTTATATAAATGTACGCATACTTATATTTATGTAAATATATTTGTATTTATATAAGTACCTACCATATAAGTAGATACAAATCTTTATAGTGGTTAAGGTAATGTTTTAGTAATAAATGCAATAGCTTTTTAACATAATATCCACAGGTCCAGTTTAGTGATAAATGTATCGTAGCTGTAGACATAAAAACAATGTTTGTAACTTTGTATAGTAGGTATGGTATGAACGGGCTGGTTTCTGCAACTCGAAGACCAGCCTTTGCGCGCCTATTTTGCGTGAACAATGTTTGTATCCTAAATGTTAAAATATTACTATGTTAATTCTGAATGGCAATTAGCACATTCATATTAAATCTTTCAACAAAGTTTATATTTATTATTTAAAATTATAGATTGAATATTTGTACCATATTTTAATAAAGCCAGAATTAAAGATATGTTTATGTATAATTAGATTGTGATTTTTACAGGGTATGAAATTATCAAGATAAATATATCTTTTGATAATTATCAAGGTAATTATCCGATAATTATCAAACAGATATAAACTTAGCAATCCTTGTGTAGGTATTGGTATTTGACTATTTACCTATCATACTTTACGTTAGAATAAATTATACACTTTTAACAATCAAGGTACTCTTTTATTATTATTATTTTTTCATTATTTTGACATATATACAAACTTGGAAATAAAAACAATAAATTTAACCAACTACATATATAGACATCATTTAATTAAATTACAGGTCTCTGCCCACTACACCGTCTCATACCATGACAGTGCTAGGACCGTGTCAGGCAAAAAAATATTCTTTGTATCGAAAATAGAGACTACGCCTACTAGACCTTTCCATAACCGACCAAGACCTTTCCGTCACCGACCAACACCGTCGCGTGCCGTGCATGGAAAGTTAACAATAGTTGTCGGCAAGAATATTTTTCCGGTGCCGATACGCTCCGTGCCTGGCACGCGACGTTGCCGAACCGGTGCGCGCGGACGGCGAAACGGTGAGCACACGGGTTATAACTGCGTATGATGACCGTTCTAAGCCTTGAAGTCTTCTAGTGACAATATTTTCTTTTAAAATATCATTTTTCTAAAACGGCGAGAACCTAGTAACGTCGTGATCGACTGATGTTATTCTCTTTATTCCTCGTGTAAAACAATGGCTATCATTGTTAATTTTCTGTCGGACAAGTTTCTAATAGCTTTCGTATAGGTATAGGAAATAATTTTCGTAACAAAAATATTCACTAGCTCTTTCTGACGCGGCTGCCTCACGCGAAAACAGGTGAACTACTACGACTGAGAAGATATGTTCATAGTACGGTCATGATATGAGACGGTGTAGTAGGCAGACTCCTTAATGATTGGAATATCATCCTCATCCTCCTCAACTGCATTAACTCAGTTCGCTGATTGAGTTTTTTGAGCTGTTTGAGAGAGTTCAGTTAGCTGATCGAGAATTTGAAGAGTTACAAATTAAATATTTGCAATTATATTTATCAAAGATAATTATCAAGCCATATTTATCATGATAATTATCAAAGATAATTATCAATGATAATTATTGTTTCGAACCCTGGATTTTTATACCCGATTGCGGTGAAGCCCAAAGCGGAGGGATATGTGTTTGACATCCTGATTTTTTGATGTTACAATGATTAGGTATTTCTTTTCCATAATATTTTTTTATTAGCAATTGCCAAAATATAAAATAATGCTCCTGCCTCATATAATTGTAAGCTTATTTTATGGTGTTTTTTTTTAAATATCGGCATGGCAAAAGTAATTGAGTCATTCATAATGCACTGAATCAAAATTTCATTGTGTTTATAAAATTTACTTAATATGTAGAGGTATTTTTAATATTTTATAATAAGAAAATAAGTAAATAAATGATAATAATTGAATACAATTTTATACAAATTATAATTATTTCCATTTCACGTCCTAGATTGGTAAAATGTCAATAAATATCAGTGATTTTGTCTAGCTATTAAAAATTATATAACCGCCATATTACCTTCTTCTATCAACAAGAATCAAGATACCTACTAGGTAAATCAATTTATGACGTTTATTTGAAACTAGCGGCTCACCCTCGCTTCGCTCGGGTTCACCTCTAGAAAAGCACAAACAGATATATCCCACGGGAATCGTTCATTTTTCCGGGATGAAAAGTAACCTGTTGCTTGACCGGTAATATAAGGTATCAGCATGCCAAATTTTACGAAATTAGGTGCGTAAGTTGTTGTGTACTAAGCTGTATAAGTTACTATAGTTTTTTGGCTATCCCACGGAAACTCTTTAATTTTCCGGGATGAAAAGTAGCTGATTTGTTTTTGTCATGTATGAAATATATTACTGTAAAGTTTCATTAAAATCCAATCAGTAGTTTTTGTGTACTAAGCTGTATAAGTTGTTATAGTTTTTTAACTATCCCACGGGAACTCTTTAATTTTCCGGGATGAAAAGTATCTAAGATGTTGCCCGGGGATATAAGGTACCACTATACAAAATTTCATTTAAATCGGTCCAATAGATTCGGAGATTAGCCCGTACAAACAGAAAAACAGACAAACAGCTCGCTCGGGTTCGTCCATACCTATGAATATGTTGTATTATCTCTTTAACCATTTGTCCAAATTATATGCAGTAAAGGGGAAAAGTCTTTTGTTTTAAATATTTTATACGATAAATTTACTTATTTTGATAAGAATTCATAATTGTTGATAATATGACCCATAAACATGACCTACCGATTTAAATTATTTTTTTAATATAAAAAACTACTTTTTGTGACGTAAATATAAAAGTTAGACATATGTTGTCGCTGACTTTTTTGTAGGCATTATTAAGCTCTACAACTTTTCTCTAGAACATAATCATATATCTCTCATCGTTAAGGCAGCGTTCGTAAGAAACGTTTTCGTTCGACCGTTTTTTCTCCGACTTACTTTGCAAATCCGACTACCACGAAAAAGCCTCTTCATTCTTCGGGTTAATATATAGCCTATGACACTCAGAAAGAACGTGGCTTTCTATTGGTAAAAGAAATTTGAAAATCGGTTCAGTAGATCCAGAGATTACCCCCTACAACGTCACAAACTCACAAACCCACAAACTCACAAACTCACAAGATCACAAACTTTACCTCTTTATAATATTAGTATAGATTATTGGAAGCGTTCTCATACTTTAGAAGATAGAGATATAATGCTAGGTATTTGAGACTTTTCTGTAAGCTTTTTTAGTTCATTATTTTTAAGAATGACAGTACATTGAAATTTGGTGAATAATAAGATTTAGCCATTAGCTAGCGTTAGCCATGTAAACTTTTAAAAAAGACTCGACAGAACCAGTTATTACCTACGTTTTCCCGTTGGGTTTGACAGATTTTCCTGTAGTAAAAGGTATTCCAAATGTTGACCGAAGTAATAAGGCAGATTCTGCACAAAATTAGTTAAAATCCTTTCTGCAGGTACTTTTTGCAGGAAAAGTGTTGAAATATGCAAACAGCCAAACACATAAAAACTTCAATAACTATTGTTTCGGGGTCTATATTCTGTACACAATACGAAAAAATATTTAAGAAAAATATTTTGTTTATTTTGCTTTGTATTAATATTTAAAATTAACTTTTTTGCTAGTGGTAATTGGAGTCTTTTTATCTTAATATTATTTTATTTTTATCAATACACACAAGACATTACATAAACCAATCAAGTTTTCACATATAACAAAAAAAATAAGAAGCAGAAGACAAGAAAAAGAAAAATAAACTAAAACAAAAATAATATACATACAATTAAATACATCTAATTAAAAAATAACAAAAACAATGAGTAAAATGTATCTATACATTTAACAAAATTCTAACTTATTTGAATCTATGAATTAAGAGGATTGTGAACCTGTAAATTTTCATACAAAAAGCGATAACGTTTTTCCCCCCTTAAACATAGTCTAATTTTCATAATTTTTGGAAATGTTGTAGATATAATCAAAATCTAGGTCCGTACGTTTTTATTTTTTTGAAATATTGCGTACGACAGAAGTTATTAGCATCTAAATATCTATATTTTTGACCTAAAAACTTCCTCCAGCGTTTTTATTTGTTTAAATTAAACTAAACTGAATTACAAAAAAAGGAAAACGTACAGACCTAGATTAAGGTGTACTGAATCTAATGAGACCAAAATCGTCTCATTTCGTTAATGTTTAGGGGGGTGAAAACGTTATCGCCCGAAACAATATTTCAAAAAGGAAATGTAGGTAATTGAGTCTAAGACTTGCAACTCTCTCTATCGCACCATACGGGTCGGGGGCAGGGGCATATTTTAGACTGTAGTGATGTTGAAGGTGCTATCGATATTATTATCTCCTAGGGAGGAGAAGGTAATATCGATATATCGATCGATACTGAAAGGATTCAATCCAAAGTTTAGAATTTTATT